CATCATTTCTGAATTTACAAAGCTTATTTACACAGAACATATGTATATAAGGCCAGATGGATCCCAATCTTTCAGGCTGTATGAAAAACATTAAGTGCATTAAAGGCAAATAAATGATCAACTTTACCTAAAAAATACTTGCTTATTTGTTGAAAAAACAGGTAGAATTATTCAAAAAATAAAATATGCGCCGATGACAGCCGCTTACATACTTATTGGAATAACTAGCTGGCGTGAATAAATAGGCAACTATCTCAGTTATTAAATCCATTATTTAGGAGTGTATCATACGGAAAAATTGTAGAGATAATCCATGGACCAACAAGTGAGGGCTACTTCAAGGGCTGGATGAAGTAAGCAAAAAACAAAAAATTTGAATCTGCCTCGCACACAAAATCGTCAAGTCTCTTACAACTGACTTAATAAGTAAATGGCCTGGCGGTAGGAAATGCGCTTTGAAGTAAAAGCAACAATATTTTTATTTAGAAGTGTCTACCCATTGGCTTAACGGGATATAAGAATTCTTTAGATTTTGCATATGTACCTGTGTTGTTTTTCGATAACAAATTGCAATACTCATAAACTCAAGCAAGAAAAGCATTAGGGACAGGAAATGATGATGGATTGATAAATTAACAGCTGTCAATAAAGCAATAGAAACGGTAGAAACATGTTTACAATGTAAAATTCGCTTAAGATAAATTAACGCCGAATTGGTAAGCTTAGTTCAGAATTAGTAAGTTTACTTCCATTTCGGGTGAAAGTGTTTAATAAAGAGATTCGAAGGTCGATCCCACCAAAAGACGACAGCGGATTCCTCTTTACCAGTTGTCGAGTGGTTTTACTGCAACATTCTTGTTGACGCTAATTCCAAGGCAATCTATTTGGATTTCATGAAAACGTGCTAGGCTTTCGTCCGTCGTATGACGGACAGCATAAGAGCAGGGAATCATCCTTACAGCCAAAGTTAAGCTTAGTCAATGAGCTAACAATCGACAGCTGATCAAGAGGAATCCACCATCATTTTCTGTTGGGAAAGACCTTCAAATCCCTTCACCAAAACTTTTACTTAAGGTGAAAATAAGCTCAACAATTATGAAACAAGAAATTCATCGGAACTCATTTTTTCTTCCCATAAGCTTAGTTCAAGCGAATCAAGGAACTGTCATATTGCCTAAAGAATAATATGTTTTCTTCTGTATCCAGCTAGATACAATGCATGGCGAATTTTAGTCTCTTAAATTCGTCATGAGGAGAATTTGTAGCAGTCTTAGCAACTCCACAACTTATAGTATTCAGATTACCCAAGAGTAATACAATTTTTGAAGGTATTTTTCCTAGATGAATTTTGAAATACACCGCTTTGAAAGCTACATGAAGAAATATGGGAACCCACATCATTTTTTCTATAAGTAAAAAACGGGTGGCACCAAAAGGGAAAATCTTTTTAATGCCATTAAGTAATAGGGATAGGGAAGCACCTGCCAGCTCGAGTCTGTCATTAACCAGGGTAATGCTAATACAAACTATCAGAATATTTTTAATCCCAGATAACGACCAGTTTCATAGTATCTATCAAGATTAGATATTAGATATACGACTTGGTCTTATTCATAAAGCTATCAGTCGATGTGTATATTGCTACATAAAACGAAATAAGAGAAGGCCTAGATTTACTCAAGAGCAGTTCCTAAAGCTGATGAGCAAGACAAAATAAACACGCAGTCTGATTTAAACAGACACGAGAACAAGCCACCAAAGTAAATTAAAACAATAATTCAGATTGTTGGTAAGTCAGGGCATGATATTCTTCTTCCGAAAATGAATTCATTCGCCTTTACCCTGTATAAGCCGAAGAAATGATAAGCGAAATCAGGCCCAGCTCTTCGCATTCATTAATTCATTCTGCTAAATGAAGATAAGGGCCTTATTGGATTAAGATGCCTTGAAATGCCGTCCTACTGTTGTTAATAAAATGTGATAATGGTAAATTCAATTTGCAACAAATACGATCATTTAAAAAGTGTGTTAATAAATTATCGATAATGGGATTATTACTATCTCTGGTGAAAAGAGAGAATAGATCCGCCAATAGCTAGCAAAAAATAAGTAGGTAAATGCAGTTTAAATTGAATAAAAGGATGGATTATTGTTAAAATTATAAAATGTTCTAGGAAAATATAAATATGTATGCAATATAATCGAAATATTCTAGTCCAAAAGCGTAAGAAGAGTTGATGTCTACAAAAGAGCTTCAAAATATACATCCTGACTAGATGGGCTCAAATTTAGTGAAACGTCGTAAGAGTTATAAGCTTTAATGTGCTAAATAAAGATATTGCATGATAGTCTACCTGCTGATGAAACTTCGCCACCATAGCTCGGGCATCGGTTCGAGAAGCACTATCCTCTTCCTCTACAACTTCAGCTCTGCAATAAACACAGACAAGTCGGTCAGGCTGCTTCACATCGACAAGACGGTCAACTTCGAGATCCGTGTATGTCGTCTGGCAGCCAGGGCACTTAAATGAAGCTCTGCTAGTTGTCTGACGTTGTTCGGCCTCCAAACGGCGCTGCATTTGATCTAGCCGATACTTTACCACATTGACAAACAACTATTAATATACGAAAATATAGAAAATGATTTTTGAAGCCCATAGGCAGTGGATATTAAAATATAAATGAACGCTTAATTAACAAATTTGAAAATAAAATGATAAACAAAGATTATAGTGAAGACCAACGTTGATAGGTTGAACTTTCTATATAGTAATGAATTACCAATGGATTTCAAAGCTTTGTCCCTTAAAAGGATGATTAAAATCTTAACCTAGTATTGAGTTAAACAACACTTACGCAGAATTTGAAGCGGGTAAAAAGAGCTACACACACTTGGCCCCAAATTCCAACTGCCAATTGGTTTCAGTTAACTTGTGATGTTAAAAGCAAACAAGATGTAGATAAAGTAAAATTTCGCTAGCCGTTTAACTCGACTTTGTTAATAAAGTCAGACTGAGGTAATGATAACTATATGCTTAACTATAAAGAACGATAGTGGAGACATTTGCGACGTTATTTACAGCAAAGTGAATTCAGAGACAAAGCTCTATATATAACAATTCAGGAAAAGAAAAGTCAAAATATCTTGAAATACTGACATTGAAAGAAGTATTTTTATTAAGACTCAATGAGTAAAAATAAAGTTTACTTTCCCATTTGCGTATATAATAAAGAGAAAGAAGACAAACATCTAAAAACAATTACGGGTTAATATAAGACAAGCCAATCGCACAAGAACATGATCCGAACAAGAGGCCCACCTTATAATCTATGTAATAG